AGGTCACATCTACAGGTGCAGCTTCAGCCAGGGGCTCCAAGATCACACCAACAGGTGTAATTTCAGCCACAGACTCCAAGGTTGGCTCTGCAGGTGCTGTTTCAGCCAAAGGCTCCAAAGTTGACTTTACAGAAGATGCTTCAAGCCCACAGTCAAAGATTGCCTTAGGAGAAGCACCTTCTGCCATGGGTTTTGGGGCAGCTTCAACCATGAACTTCAAGGTTGATTCTACAAAAACAGCTTCAGAAATGGACTCAAAAGGAGCCACCTCTATAGTGGCACCTTCACGCACGGACTCCAGGCTTATCTCTGTAGGAGCAGGTTCCACAGTAGTTTTTTGGACATCCTCAAAAGGGATTGCTTTTGAAAGAATCTCTGGAACAGCCTCTGCAGAAACTTCAGCACAGGTAAGTTTGGCATCAGAGGCTGTGGTATCAGTTGTAGAAGCAGCTGCTTCGACAGATGGACCACCAACATCTTCAACTTCTGCAACATTCTTAGTGGCAGCTTCAGCAATTGGCTCAGAAGACTGAATTGTTTGAATTGGTTCTGCAAGAACTTCAGTCTCAACGGTGTTTTTTCCTGCTAAAGCAGATTCTGAGACTGATTCAACTGCAGGAGTTGCTTGAGCTGCTAAAACAGGCTCGCTAATCGTACTGGTGGTGTCAGATGGTTCAAGCACTGAGGCACTGGTCTTCACGTCAGCGGTACTGGGTGCAGTGTTTACTGCTGCGGCAGCGGCGACTGCAGAAGAAACTTCAGTCTTGGGAAACTTGTATGACTTGTGTTGAATGAGTTTTTCTAAATCGAAGTATGTTTTGAGCTGTTTTTTGTCTAGGATGAAGAAGAAGAGCAAGCACACAGAATGCATTATTTTTTCAATAATATGCATCAAGTTGAATGGTATATAACATAAACCCATTGTAATCAGGATCGCATCATCTGACATGAACCATTAGTATTGTGGTATACTAAAGAAAGAGATTTAACTTTTAAAAAGCATATAAACGGGACCCAAACCATGTTGTTAGGAGCTCTGATGGTCTAAGCTTGTCCTCGTCAGAATGGTGTATGTACTGTGATGGGTCTCTGTGTTAAATCAGTACACTAGAAACTGAAGATGAATGAATCTGTGTGCAGACCATCAATCAGCATTAACTCTTTAAAATCCATTAAAAGTGGCTAACTGAAGGGCACAGAAGTAAGGCCAATCATGGAAACAATGAACTGTGATACAGATATCACTGAATGATCATATCAAAAGAATACACTCAAAAATATGTCTCAAGCAAAAGTTTGTAAAAAAACATTTCTACTTGAGACCAACGGAAAATGACCCTTGGCTTATTGTGGTGGAAGTAGAATAAACATCAAGTCCATGCTCAATAATCCAGGTGTACAATCCAGCATTTTTCAGTCAGGTCATCTGGACAGTTTCTTTTTTTGTGCTGAAATGTTTCGCCTTTGATCCAGAAGGCTTCATCAGTCAAGGAAACACACAACAAAACTGATTCTTCCCCCAACAGCTTACTCCAAAGTGGAACAAACCAGTTCTGTTGGTGCTAAGATGGTCTCAAGTTTGACACGACAGTCAACAAGGAAGAGGGCCGGCAATGGAGGAGGGGGCATGTCAAAGACACCATCTTAGCACCAACATAACTGGTTTGTTCCACTTTGGAGTAAACTGTTGGGGGAAGAATCAGTTTTGTTGTGTGTTTCCTTGACTGATGAAGCCTTCTGGATCAAAGGCGAAACATTTCAGCACAAAAAAAGAAACTGTCCAGATGACCTGACTGAAAAATGTTGGAATAAACATCATTCACCAACAACCTTCACCTTGGCCAATCCTCAGCAAGATGGATGAGGACCAGGATACATGGAACCCTGTCCAGGTATGAAGGTCATCTGTCCATTGACAAGGGAGATGTCCCTTTTTAAGGATTCCTTCAGCTTTTCCTTGGAGGCTCACATTTTCCTTGGCTGTCACTATGTGGACAAACCACTTCAGTGTCAACTTTATGAGTCATAATGTCCAACGAGGACATGGACTCTATGGCAGACTTAATTGTTTTTAGTGTAGGAGGACCAGTGAACCTGAATCAGGCGTCTTTAGCAGATCATTTCAAATATGTCTATCCAAAGGTTCAGAGTCCAAATTTCTGCAGCATAATGACTGACAGGACAAGTGGACACAAGAGTTTAGGTAGTTGGTGACACTGACCTGACCTTTGCATTTAGCGAGACAAAAAACAACTTCATCTACAACAAATGTATTCTGATACATGACTGATCAACACCTGCAGTGGCCCAACAGCTTCTTGAACCCCTGCCACGTTCTTATTCCCGTTCTTTTGTTGGTGTATTGAGAAGACAAACTGAAAAGCAATCTGAAGTATTTGGATGTCAAACAGATTTTGGACAAGTAGTACCTGTGGTCAGAAAACTTGATGTTTCTTGTGTTTTAGCAAATCACAAAAGCCTCCTTTAAATACAGTCTAGGTGGTTGAACCCACCAGACCAGGTGGACTTGATTGCTTTAGTCATTGGCCCTGCTATCCTCCCCCTTGATAACTTTTTGATTCTGAGCTTTCCTCTGTTCATCAATGAACACAGTTCTTCAATTCAACCTTGAATTTATGATACAACCAGACCCTAAACTTCACATATCGTAGTTCTGGTGGTCCAAAGCTCTGATCTTTTCTCAGTACAGATCAAAGAAGAGGTACTACCATACAGTATTTTTTTATTTAACCTTTATTTATACAAGTAGTCTCATTGAGTATTTGAGTACTGAAAGAAAGTTTTACAAGGCAAGAGCCTGTGCTAAGTTATCTAATTGTTAACTTGCTAACTTGAGAGGCACGTAGCTAAAGACAAGCAGTTTGGAGGATTGAAGAGGATTTATAATTGATGATTTGTTTTACAGGTCAGTTACAATAAACTTATCGTGCCCCGTTCAGAAAAATACTCTATACCGTTGGTCGCTGCTTCAGCTGTGCTGAAAGTGAAAGTTAAAATGAACGGCCATGACTTGAGGGTAGTCTCCATGCGCCCTCTGCTGGATTAATTGTACAGTTACATCTTGTGCAAGTACGGACACAGCTGGTGAAAATTAGAAGAGTTTATATCGGTGCAAAATGGGACAATTATCACTGATGCCCATAAGTCTCCAAACGCCTACAGGCTATCGGCCTAAAATATCAGACTACTGATATATTGGTTGGGTTCTAGTTTAGACAGATTTTTGATAAATGAAATCATTTGAAAACTGCATTTTGTATTTACTCGAGTTATATTTGTCTCATTTGTTTGCTGATCTGAAACACGTGGCAAAAAAACAAAAACTGCAGAAATACAGTATGTAAGGGGAGAAATACTTTCTTACAGAACTGTAGCACAGAGGAGCACACAACAAGCACGGAAAACAAAGTGTTAACTCTGTTTTATGATTAAATATCATTCCTCATCACTGGCTGTACGTCTACAACTCAGAAACATTTGGAGTCGACCCATTTTAAAATGGCTGACACAACTAATCAACTTTAGACAACAGAAAAATGGTCCAATCTTTTTTTCATGTAATTTTAACTTGAATTTAAAACCTTATTTTATCTGCTAATAGTGGCAAACACAGGAACGGGTCTTCAGATGACTGCATCATCTCTTCGCCATCTGCTTTGGAGGATGTTCATGATCTAGGAATGATGCGTGGCTTTTTCTGGACCAGACACTTGTACCACAGTTCAAGTTTACCCGGGCCGGACGTCAAAATGTGACTCCAGCTGTGGCGCTCTGGAGTACCTACCTGTGCTGGGACTTTTTGTTGGCTTCTTGGATCCTCCAGACTTGGTGCTGAAAGCTGCAGGTGCTCTGCTCAGCGTGATCCAGCTCCCTGCATGCACACACTGACGACATGCGCCAGTCATCAGCGAAAGAATGAACAAGTAAAAATCCATAAAGATTAAAATAATAATAATAATTATTATTATTCATACAGATGCTTGTTCCCAATTTCTGCCTAACTCAGTGACACCAAACCCACAGGTGTCTCATTATCTCGGACTAAAACAGGAAAAGCAGAGATTGTAGATCCATGTTTGAATTTTGATGTGACCCAGTTCTTGAAAGTGACCTTTTTACATCTTGATGCAGCCACACACCCACATGGAGGTCAGTCAGTTATGTTTCAACTTACTGAGCTACAGACGGAGGGTATTTCTAATCCCCCTCTTTGCTCTGTGACGGGGGATGAAAAGGTAAACCCACGGATATGTACAATTCTCAGCCTCCCCAGGAACGTTTAGTCCAGGATGTTGGACCGATGGTCAAGCCTTGGATTCAGGAGCAGAACCTCCGTCCTGTCACGGAACAGTGAACCAGATCTTCGTTAATGTGACATGTGAGTTTCTCTCCCAGGCTACGTGTTTTGCAGATCTGGATAAAACCTATGGTTGTGTTCCCTGAGGCATTCTGGGAGGTGCTCAGCGTACCGGGTCACTTTTACACTTTTTACTGTTTGGTCCTTGTCTAACCAAAGCAAGAGCTGCGCCTGTACCCTCAGCACAAAGTCCAGCTCGTTCAAGGGCCACCTCCTTTCTCTGACCCTGCCTGAGGTGCTCATGGACAGGGACTTAAGCCCCAGTCCTGGAGAGGAGGGGTCTGGTTTAGGAACCTCAGAACTCAAACAGATGAATTCATCTGGGAGTCTTACGTCCTGCTGTTATGTGCTGGCTCATCGAATGAAGTCAGATGTCTGCAGCACTGAGGACGTTGCTCCGGTCTGTTTTGAGGGAAGAAGACATGAGCTAAACGGTGTAGTTCTCAGTTTAATGGTCCACCATCGGTAATCATCACCAGTGTCCTAAAAAATGTCTTACATCCACTTTTAAACAAAGAAAAAACTTCCAAGCAAATGCTATGTGTGGCCAGTTTCCACTGGATGAAGATTTTCATAGATTTACCAGCCAAATACAAACAAGTCTAGGCTCATTCAACTAGTAGAAATACAGCAAACTACACCCAGAGAGTGGATTCCATTACAGTTCAGTGGACCAGGCCTGCATGTCTGGTTTCAATCTGCTCCACTGAAGCGTGCAGCTCCAAATATGAGCTGTTTTTATTAAAGATCATTGTCTTCTGATGTTGGCAACAACCTGCTGCAGACTGGACACCGGCAGTAGAACAGTCCTGACCGTTCCGATCATAAACATTTTACAGCATCATACCTTGATGTGGCTCGGGCGTCCTATTCTCAGCAAGGAGGTCGCCATATTTCTTCACAGTCTGCCTGTGCATCAAGAAATACATCAAAATAAAATTATATAAGGATGACACTTGCAGCCTGCAGGCATCCTTTCAACAAGCACCATAATTCATGTCAACCAGACTGCACTCATAAAAAATAAGATACATATGAATTATTGCTGGTACCTTCAGATAAAAGCTGTGTACTTTTTGTTCCTGCAGTCCTGAAGCAGCTCAGACACGGATCAGTCAGGTTTGTCCCGTTTTATGTAACACTCATCAGTAACGCCCCCCTCCCTCAGTGATGCCCCTTGTGTTGTGTGTTTGTATTTTCTCTCTTTAACTTTACATTTTTATGTTTAGTTACAGTTTAGGTTACGGGACTTGTGTTTCAGAGACTCAAACTTCTCTGCTGTTGCTGTTCTCCGGCTAAAAGTGTTTATTTTAGGGAGGAAAATTCTCACTTTCTAAAAATCGCATCAGGACCTCCTAGATACGAATGCGCATGCGTAAACTCTGGTTCCAATCCGTGCATTCATAGCAACAGATATATGTTCATATCTACTTCCGGTAGCTACGGCAAAATCGTAAAATACAAGCGAATGGATACGGAGGCCATAGTCGGTTACAGTAACGAATACACACAAACGTCAAAATAAAAGTCGATAAAGGAACCGAAAGTAGGCATGAATACAAATATATATATATATATGGCTGTGGATAAACTCAACAAAACATTGACTCGCGCATGCGCATTAATACGTGTGACGTCATATCATGCGACCCATTTCGTCTGCGCGTGGACTCCGGTGTCAGTAAACATGACTGCAGTGGGTTTCTGTGGGGACTGGTTCGTCCTGAGCTGCGAGAAGAAACTCGTGGCGCTCCACCGAAAGAAGAGCAGGTTTGGGCCGCTTCATGACTTCCGGTTAGCAGCGTTAGCTAGCTGGCTGCCTCAGACGGACGGGCGGTACCAGGTTCGGAGCAATTTTTGCCGAGTTTACTGATGGTGTAGCTCGTCCTCGCTATCCGACGCGTCTTTGAACCACGTGTTTGCACGTCCTTAAAACGAGCCACATTAAGACTAAAGGCCAACGCACTGCAGCTTCTTCATCCTTCATGTTTCGTGTTATTGAGCCTCCGTCCAGCTGTGATCCTGCTGGCGCCCCCTGGTGGCAGAGACTGGTCAGAGCATCTCTGGCTTCTGGTGCCAGGTTCAGAACCCAACTGGACCAGACGTGAAAGAGTTTAGACGTTGTGTGAAATATAAATAGAATCCAGATTGCAATTATTTATTCACAACAGAACACAGTTTACGTGCGTAAGTTAAGAAGTTGTGATTTTAGGAAAAAGGTTATTTGAATCTGATGCCGGTGATCCATCTCTTGTCTGTTTTCCACCGTGAATTATCAGCTGCTTCTGTAAATGTCCAGGATCTGAGGAGACCAGATGCTGGAGGTTTTGGAGGAGACTGTTGTCCCGTTCTGGTCTGATGGGGGGTTCTGACTGTTCCAACAGTCCCAGGTGGATCAAATGTTTTCAGTTGGCAGGAGGTCCGGATCACTTCAGCTCCTGGAATCTGCTACAACAAAACCACGCTGCTGTGATGGATGCAGTTTGTGGTGTTGCATGTTCTTGCTGAAATATGCAAGACCTTCCTTTAAAAGATCATTGTTTGGATGAGGCAGATGTTTTATGACCTGTAGATACTTCTCTGCATTTGTGGAGCCTTTCCAGATGTGTAAGCTGCTCAAGCCATTTACTGTAATGCACCCCCATACCATCAGAGATGCAGTCTTTTGACTTTTGAGCTGACCACAGCCTGGATGGTTCCTCTCCTCTTTAGTACGGAGGACGTGGTTTTCAAACAGAACTTCAGATTAGGACCCGTCTGACCCTAGAACAGGTCTCTTCACCTCAGTCCATTTGAAACGAGCTCTGGTCCAGAGGAGACAGCAGAGGTTCTGGATGGTGTCCACATACGGCTTATTCTTTGTCTGATAGAGCTTTAATCAGCATCTGTGGATGAACTGTGTTTACAGATGATCTGTGGAAGAGTTCCTGAGCCCAGAACAGAACCAGACCTGGTTTAATGCAGGGGCCCCTGAGGGCCCCGAAGCTCACGACCATCCAATACTGACCTTCTGCCTCGTCCTTTGAGCTCAGAGGTTCCTACAGATTCTTCTAATCTGTGGGTGAGATTATAAACTGGAGCTGATGGAGGTTAAAAGTCCTCCATTAAGGAACTTTTAATTTGAAATTGTTCGTCTAGTTTTAAACCGACTGCTGATCGTGTGCCAGTCCACTGACCGGCCTGTTCACAATCACCAAACCACTTTTTTATTAAGCAGCGAGGCCAACGAGCGTGCTGCACAAACGAGCACAAGACTCAGAATAAAATGTATAAAGCAACAGAAGTTTAAAAAAATAATAAACGACTAGACTATCTTATTTTCCGGCGTATGAGGCGCACCTTTTTGCCTAATTTGCATATCCTCGTTGTGTTTTCAGAGAGCCGTTTGTGTTCGACTGCAGCTGCGCCGAGAAGACTCCGAAAGGGTTAAAGAAGGACGCCGGCAGGTAAGACCTCGTGTCTCTGCAGAGGCTGTGAGGTGGGAGTCCTTCTCCAGCTGGACCTTGTCCTCTTTGTCTTCAGCGATGGCGGTCCCTCAGAGGAGACAGGAAGTGACACAGTCCTCGCCTTTGCAGTGTCTCCGTCAGGAAAACTGGCGGCGTTAACGGACGACTCCAAACGGCTGGTTCTGTTTGAGTGCGAGCCTTCGTGGCGCTGCATCAGCATCAGGTACGAGTCGGGCCGGCTGAACGTCACGTACGTCTGAGCCGTGGTTCTGGACCCGCCGTGGTTCTGGACCCGCCACGACCTCGTGGGAATGAGTTTCAGGATGCGCAGCGGCTGAGGCGCTTGGTGCTTGTGTCCAACAGGTGGGTGGTCAGGAGGTGCACGTCTCTGACGTTCAGCCCAGCCGAAGATGAGCTGCTGGCGGCCGATAAGTCTGGAGACCTGTACTCCTTCTCGGTGGTGGACCCTCAGAGGGAGGGGGGGCTGCAGATGGGCCACCTGTCGATGCTGCTCGCTGCGGTAATCATTTCAGTCTGAAGGTTTCAAACATTCCTGCAGGGAATCATGTTCTCCGTCACCGCCACGGAAAAATGTTTGTTGTGGTTAAAGACATTCAGTCTAAATTTAAATGGACTGTACGTATTATTATTATTATTATTATCATTATTATTATTATTATTATCATTGTTATTATTATTATTATCATTATTATTATCATTGTTATTATTATCATTATTATTATTATCATTGTTATTATTATTATTATCATTGTTATTATTATTATTATCATTATTATTATCATTGTTATTATCCTTTTTATTATTATCATCATCATTATTATCATTGTTATTATTATCATTATTATTATTATTATCATCATCATTATTATCATTATTATTATTATTATCATTATTATTATTTTTATTTGACTATTCATATATTTGTGTATGAGATGGACAAACCGTGACTAGCACAGAAGTCCAAACTCCTCCCACATCTAAGCTTTCTTCTTCTTCTCCTCCGTTAAGCGTCCGTCTCGACTCCTCTGTTCTTCTTCTTCTCCTCCGTTAAACGTCCGTCTCGACTCCTCTGTTCTTCTTCTTCT